AAAAAAAAAAAAAAAAAAATTGAATATCAACTTCTGCAACAGTGGCCAAGCTCACTTGAAGTGTCCTTGGTCTTGCACATCTCATGAGATAGAGCAGCTGTCTATAAGGTCCAGGCATGTAGGTACCAGTCAGTCTTCCCCGCTTCTCTTCCCACCTGGCAGCCTCCTGGAAAGAATCCAGACACGGCTGCTGTGATCCAGTGAATTCTGGTGGTTTGGAATTCAAGTCCACTGCTCCAAACCCATTTCCACTTTGCTAAAGCTGGTCCCCATTTGTATCAGTCAGAGGTCTGGCTGAAAACAGAATCTACCCCAGGTGGTTCACACGAAAAGACCTAAAGGGGACCACTTAGACCTTAAGGGTACCACTTAGCGAGGTGTGGGCAGGGTTAAGAGAACAAAGGATGATGAAGCCAAAGCGAGGGCCGGGACTGCAGAACAGGGGACACCCGCACGAGGTATCTGCGTGGAGATCTCTACAGCCAGGGATGGCTGTGCCTGTTTTCCACCTGTCTCTCCAAGCTTATGGGGACAGCAGGGGAGCTTGGGTGATGCAGTCTGAAAGATCAGCCTCTAGGGGCAGGGAGAAAGGTAGAGCATGAATGAGGAGCCACCCGGCAAACAGCCCCCTGTCCCTAGTGGCCTGGATAATTGCAGTGTAAGAAGAGAACTCAGGTGTTCCAACTCCCAGACCAGTACTCTGTCTGCTGTTCTAAGTTCCTTCAGCTCTCTTTTAACACATTTATTGGCACCTACTATCTACTATAGTCAATATTTGTTCCCGCTCCTTTAAAAATGCACAATGAGAATCAGGAGGTATCCCATCTTTCCTCCTCAAAACTAAACACACCCAGAAAAAGCCAGACATTACCCATTGGAAGAGAAATAGCCCCAAGACCTTTGTATTTCTACCTAATAGGTAATCTTCCCACTAGCGAACTAATTAATTTCTAAAACCTTGTTAATAACTGTGGACAATTTAAAACAAATGCAGAGATCTTCACGGATGTCCTAAACACCTAGGGATGCTGTTAGCAAGCAGGACGGGGACTCTCCCAGGTGCCTTTCTGCATATTAATGTCACTGTTTTACACGTTCTGCCTTCTAGCCTCTGACTGCATGTAAACACGTCCACATTTCCATGCATCGGTGATGAAGACAGCACCTGGAGGCACGTTTGTAATTTCAGTTGTTGCTTGAGCATTGAGGGAAGAGCTAAAACCAGCTCCCAACTCTGTTAGTACAAGAGAAAAAAAAGAATCTTTGAATATGGAAATAATAATTTTCCCTAGGACCGATCTGTTGCAGGGAGTATTATTTTGTCAGTTGTTAGTTCCTTGGAATTTTCCAGGCAAACCTTCTGCCCTCAGTTTGCTGTCTTTTGCTTTCTTGTCCTTTTTCACTTCAAGTAAATAAATAATGGGGAGGGAAGGGCAAACCTTCTGCCAAGGGAACGCAGTGCCATTTGGAAACACATATCTCAGGAGGCGCATTTTTAATCCCTGAATTAATTGCACCTTTTTTATATGCCACCCACTTCAGCAAAAAAAATAATTGAGCTTGTAAAAGCAGTTTTCAGAACCAAAATGAACCAAGAAGTAAAGGTGGAAAAGGAAGAAACTATAGCAATAAATTCTGATGGGGAAAAATGAGAGCAATTAAACATAAAACTTACTTAGCTGCCCACCAACCTAGAAAAAGAAAAACAACTGGTTGCAGCATTTTGTGTGTGTGCGTAGTTTTAGGAAACAGTTCAGCTCATCAGAAGGAAGAAAACCTTTGCCCAGTGCTTGGTTCTGAAGGAAATTTGTCAAGGATTCTTTGTTTGAAGACACTGAATAATGTCCCAATAGCAGTTTAAAAAAGAAAAAAGGAAAGCATTTTTTAAAAATATAGGGCGATTTGTTATATCTACCATTGGTGAAATCCATGCGTGTAGCATTTAAGCCTTGTTCCATCAAGTGCTTCGGTAGAGCAATCACCACCCATTCATCTCTATGGTTTGGCCTTTGCCATAAATGATTAGCCATGTGGCTACGAGTACTACATTTGGCAAACAACTTCAGTCCCACTAAATTCAGAGGCTCAATATAACTGGGTTTTTTTGTTACCTAAAAGTACACTTGGGATGCACAGCTTTATCTTATAGAAAGCTCGAGCACGAAATAGATTAAGTCCAGAAACAATAGTTTGTTCTACAGGACTGAGGTTGAAAAAAAAAATCAGGTCACATAGCACCTGGCTATTTAATATTCCTGCTGTCCATGAGCTCATCTCCCCTTTTTTCTTGGCTTTAAACCCAACTACTGGTATTTAAATCTCCAATGTTTCTTCCCTCCAGCTCTGAGTCAAGTCGCCCCCATATCTTTTCCACATACGTAATTTTTGTTGTTAATGGGCCTTTTTCATACCAAGATGCGGAATCTTTTGTCTTCTTCTAACTTTTTTATTTTTTAATGTAGGCGTTACGAAGCCTCATATCTAAATTGTTACGTCCTTGCCAGAAGCCAGAGAGGCGCTTCTGGGATTATTTATTTATCGTAACATATGGCTCAGATCTAAAAAGACTGGGCTCCCGGGAGCTGTAGTTACCACTTTATATAACACTTCCTGGTTTCCAAGAGCTTAGGGCTGAAGAAAACTCTTTCGAGATGTACACATGTACACAAAACAATTAGGAAGAGTTTGAAGCAGGAAGACACATGTTACTTTAATGAGTTCTCCGAAGTTTGCTCTTTAAATACATAACCAATAAATGAGGCAGCCCTTTCTCACTCTGCCGAATAGCTCAAAATCTTTGGAGAGCTAAGGATGAGCTTGCCAAATCTCTCTAAAAGTAGCACATTTGTTAACAAAAATCCACTTGCCATATTAAAGAGAGGGGGCTGTGGATGGAATCGATTCATTAGAAGCCAAAACTTAACCCAGCTGATGTCATTGCTAAAAATAAAAGACAAGAATGAAATGTTTGGGGGAGGTGCCACAGAGTAAATGTCTTGACAAATCACTCTTTCTCTTCTTCCGGGGCTCATTAATACAGGCAAAGGGGCAGCCTGTGCGTCAGGGATGTATTAGGAGAAGGACTCGCACCCTGGAAAAGTGGTTGGGCCTGATGGGTTCCAGGTCCCCAGGAAAGGAGTCCAAATTAACCCAAAACAATATTGTTGATTTAGGGGAAACTGGGGTTGGGCCAGAACTTCTCTGACCACCTAGATCCTTACTGGATCCTGGATACTCAGTCTTTCCTCTTCTGGATCTTTCTTCCCAGGACTTGACTGCACCCATTCCAAGTTTAGGTGGGGGAAGCAAAGGACTTTTCTTCACGCCAGCAGGCTCACTTGGTATTAGGCCATCTTCATAAGGATTTGGACGTAAACATTGACCACATATTCTAAACGCTGGATTCAAATCTTTCCAGCTCCTTTTCCAGAGGTGATCACAGCTATTTTCTAAAACACACCATCCTGGACACCAGAGGTGCTTAGACTGTCAAGACTTTTATGCGCTGTAATGGACTTAAAGGTTCTTCTTCAAACTCCTGCCCTCCTGCCTCGTCAGGGGTGGTCAGGCATGGATACAGGTTGAGGAAATTGAATACGGAGGTTTAAGGAGGGAAGACAAGACAGGAAACGAGGACGCAAGATTCAGAGACAAACCTCTTTTCCACGTGGTGCCTGAATCCAGCCCTAATGACATCCACAACCCTGAAAGGGTATTCACGCCCATCACCCCTTTACTGAGATTATACAGACCCTTGTGTGTGTCTGTTCGCTTTTCAAAGAGCTCCAAGGGTGAGGAAGCTATATCCCCTTTTCTAAATTGTGTAGTTCAATTTCAGAGTTTCTGGCAGAGTCCTTAAGAAGTCAGAAAGACTTTAAGAGCACTTTATTTATGTCCTTTATTTATTGACTATTTTCACCACCATGGTGACATAGACAAGTTTAAGTTTTCCTAAAGGAGAAACAGGCATTTTCTGTTCCCTAGCCTTCAGCTTTGTTGGTTTAATTTATTTTGAATATGCAAAACATAACACGCCACTCAAAGGCAAAACTATTCAAAAAGATGTACTCAGAGCAGTCACTTCCTGATGCCTTCTACCCAACCCCATTCCTCCATCCTGTCCCTCTGTGCCCACACACTCCCCATAGTCACCAGACTCACCAGTTTCTGCTCAATCCTTCCTATATTTGTGCCCAGATGAGCAGACACAAGTATGT